CTCTCCAGCTAGTTCTCAGAGGCTGTAAATTACAAGGGAGGAGATCGCCCATTGTTTTCCCATGGAACAGCTGCTAGATTCAAACCTCCTGCCTTGGGTTAGCAGCTTAACCTCTTACCCACTAGGTCAACAGAGCACCCTACTATATCAGCTTAAACTTGGGAAGTTACTCTTTGACACAACCTCAGTTTCTAGTGAGTCATTGTTTTCTTAGGGACGTACTGCCCCATCCATCCTGTGTCATCCTCACAAGTTCTGTCATGCTCAAACCCGCTGAGGTAGTCAAAGTGTTAATCCATCTTGTCAAAAGTCTTCCTCTCTTTCTGTGACCCTCCACCTTTCCCATCATGATGATGCCTCTCCAAGGATTAGTTGTTCCTTAGACTATGTCTAAAGTAAGTAGGGCAAAACTCAGCTCTGTTGTTCATCCAGTCTCTATGTGACACAGTAGACTCAACAGGTATGTAACAACAGCTAACACTGTCATATAGCAGTAGGGCACTTTAATATATGGATATGGTTTGGGTCTTACCTATTCTGAAATGTGTGGCCAAATATATCAAATAGTCATCTCCCTAGAGAGGTTTTAAATAATTCTGTATTCTTACCTCTCTGAGTTGGTTCCAACTCAGCAGCAGTGAGTGAGTGAGTGATGATTTTACTGTATCTCTCAGAAAATAAATACACTAGGCAAACAGAAACAAGAAAAGGGCACATATATTCCAAAGACGATTCATTACAAGAAGTTATAAGGAGTTTGCTTTGTCTGTATTCATCCAGCTTTAAAACAATGCATCCTAAATGATGTGCATGTTAATTATATTACTAAAGATATTCCAAGGACTGGGGAGTTTATTGAGCAAGTCTAATTCCTATCGATTCCATTGTTCAGTGGAAGAGAGCGTACATGACAGAAGTGTAATGGGTTTGAGGGGAATTGGAGAAAATCTAGATGTTTATCATTATTAACTAGCGCTCTTCTCACAGATACTTTGCCTGTTCCCAAACTACTTTGTGATGAATAAATTGCCATATTATTGTGATCAATATATCTAAACAGAACCATTTAGAAGAGGATTGTTAATGAACAGTTTGTTAATGTGACAGTTTCAAAGCCAAGTGTTCACTAAGAAGCAGAGTTTGGTGTTAGGAAAGTTTAATATCCATGCAATTAAGAAAGCAGATGATGGCATTCCAAATTATATTGGTACTTATTTCCTGTGCATTTGATCTTATGAATAACCATCACAGTGCTGGATACATAGTAGGCTTTTAACAATTATCATCCCTCTCACTGCATATTGGAGCCCTATTAAGAGTGAGTGAAATATAGCTGGACTGCAAGTCTGGCAGAACTTTAACTGTCCAAGTAAGTACGTTCTCTGGCTGTTAGAATTGATCACAAATGAGGTTATCTATGGTCAAGTTTCCTGGTACATTTTTATTTGGCTTTTGTAGAATTAAGTTTCTGTGTGTTTAAAGATCTAACATCTAGCCTAGCTCAGTGCTAGCTGAATTATTTACTGTAGGACCCTCTTAACATTAAGGAAGAGTCATAAGATACATGAGTGGTCTCTCCAAGAACCCAGAACACCTATTGGAGAGCTCCGAAGTAATTTTTATTGTGTTAATGATATTGAACAAAAGGTAACAGGAGTAGGGGGTTGGGGGGAAGGTAAAACTGACAAAGGTATGTCCTGACATACTTGTCAGAAGAAATAATGGTTTGCCATTTATGAAATCTATATTCATCAAATACATTAATATGTGTCTCTAAGATAACCCAAGGGATTTATGAGCCAGTGGTAGAAACATACGGTTACAGTGACAGCTTCCCTTATCTTCAGTGAGCCTTGACATTTAGAACTACTTACACAATTGTTCATGTAACTGCAACTTGGCTCTTTCAGAGACTCTAGAATTAAATACGTAAGTCTATGTATTCACGTGCATTATACCAGACTAACCTCACATACTTTCTTTTTAAGAGAGATGCTCTCCATATGTGACCTTGAAGGAGTCATTTGGATTCTTAAGGTTTTTATTTTACTAAGAATGAAGTGTTGTTAATGTTGTTGTTGACATATATAAATTTGTAGGATATTTTAAATGACATGATTTTAACACATTAACATTGGCCATAACCCTCTTCATCATGTTTGAGGCATCAGACATTGGATTAGATTTTAAAATAATTTCCTTGATTTCTCCAATATTTCTTTTTCTAGAAGCTTTAAGAACATTAAAACCTCCCCACTTCCACCCTAACACTGCCATTGAGTACTTCCTACCTTCTAGGACAGAGTTTCCTCACAGGGATTTGAAGGCTTATAATCTTTAAGGAAGCAAGCAGACTACCCATCTTTCACCCAAAGAACAGTTGGTGGATTCATACCATGACATTTTGGTTAACAGCCCAATGCTTACTCTACCATGCCACCAAGGATCCTTAATCTTGAGCCACATAAGCTAAAATCAGCCTGGGAGGGGATAGTTCTCCCATCCTGGTTGTTTGGGTTTGCAAAATGACTCTAATAGCTGTATTTGCTGATACAATTAATTTTCTCTTTTTCCCTATGTTCTCTAGCTGTCAACCAAAAGGGAAATGTAGTGTCCAAGTCAACAGATTTTACATGCACCCTGTATCCTCTCTCTAGCTAACTATCTCCCTTCAGACTCTTTAATTAAGAGCATATTCAAGTGAGTGCCCAGACAAAGAAAAGGGTTTTAATCATACAAATGAAGAATGAATAAAAGTGCCAACCAAGTGAAATCTGGCCAATTAAAGGCCCAACGAGATCATGGTAGTTGTCATCAAACTTTTGAAGAGCTGTCCTGAGAAAAAGGATTAAAAAGTAGAGAACAGAGGACACTGGGTAGGAAAAGAGTAGAATGGGGATGAGTATTAATAGATGGTTTCGAAGATAGAATGGATTCCCTTGAGAGAGAATGCAATCTATATAAACTGAGACACTGCTTGGGAGAATGTTGTAGAAGGCTGAGTAGTTCAAGTTCAATTAGATAACACTGAGTTACTGCCGACCCTGAGAAGCTGTTACTGTCCGTATATATATATTTTTTACTTCAAACCCCTTCCTTGACTGAATATCTGTATTAAGCTCGAAAGAAAGAAAACCCACATTGTCAGTTGCTGTTTGCTGTTCCCTTCTACTCAGATGTCTCCTCCAAAACCCTCTTCTAATGCTCTAGTCACCTTGACAACAAGGCATCTGTCTTAATGGCCATTAGTTTCACTATTCAAAGGGACTTTGCTTCATAATAAAGTGGGAGGAACAATCTTCAGCAGTCCCTTTCTTTTCCATCCTCAAAGAGTCCAAGATTAAACATATGCTTTGAAATGAAAATCATTGTAAAGTTGCTGAGTAAGGGAACACTGCATGTATTTGGTCCAAAGAGCAGAAAGTTTTCGGTTGGCAAATGTAAGAAAGAAGTTTGTCTCTTGTACATGAAAAATTCCACTAACTATACAGTATGGCTCAAATTGGATTATTATTTCTATTTTAAAACAGGTCAATCCATATACATCAGCATGCACGCGCGCGCACACACACACACACACACACACACACATACATCTACATATACACTCTTTTTTTCAACCCCATTCATTAGATGTTAGAGCTGCTGTGGAATCAGTGTTAGTGTGGCAAATATATGCTCAGCCATGACTTATCTTACTTATAAATTATTATTATAAATGATGCAAGGAAGTTACAGGGGTAAAAGTTAACCATGAGAGAAATGAGGAAATACTGTAATGGGAAATCCATTACACACTGTTCTGACACTAAAAGAAACCCTTTTCAATTAGGAATATAATTTTTTTACTTAAACCTATTTAGATTGTTTTAACTCAGCATATCTACTTCTAGTGATAAAATATAACATTTAAGAAACTCCCTACGTAGATGATGTGTAGAAATTTGAACCCTCAAGCCACTCTACCACAGAAATTAGGTGGCCTCCTCCTATTAAGATTTTTTCCAAGGCTTAAAATGAATTTTAATAAGTTGATGATGCAATATTGGTCCATTTCTCTTGTAGCTATATCCTATCGAGGCAGAACTGACTTCTAGCTGATCCACTAAGAGATTTTCAGAAGCAGGAAATTGCAAGGGAGGAGAGTATCCATTTCTCTCAAATTTAGTGTATTAGAAACAGTAAAATATACTGTTGTTATTGTATGTTGTTGAGTTGGTTTTTACTCATAGCTGACCCTCCAGCAGGTTTTCAAAGGCAGTAAATCACATGGAAGGCGATAGTCCATCCTTCTGCAGAGCAAGTGGTGAATTCAAACCACGTGCCTTTGGGATTGCAATGCAGCTTCTTGCTACTAGGCAACCAGAGCTCCCTAGTATACCAATAAAAAAGATGCACAGCATTTTTATTTAGTTATAGCTAAGACAGACAAGGCTGAGCTAATATCAGGCCTTCAGCATACAGCAACCCTGTTCTCAAGGCTGTTTGTGCCTATGAAGAAAAGTTGTGAACAGTAACATCTTAGGCACAAAAGGGCCATTTCTTTTTTGTCCTCATTCAAGAAAAAGATGCCCTTCCAGTAAAGATGCACAGCATCAGAAGGCCAGTGGAGGGTAGATATGAATTGGAATTCAGTAGGATTTTGGTTTCTCCTGTACAGGCTCTGTACCAACTCTTGATCCTTATTGCCTTCTTTCTTTATTTCAACAGATTTAAGAGCAGATACTATAATTATTTTTCTATATGCCAGGAACTTGAAGCTCAGGGAAATGAAGTAACTTGCCTAAGGTTTGATGGCTCGAATAAAATTTCATTGTGGAGCCTGAGTTAATCAACATCCATTATGCTCTCTGCTCCAATGGCCCTTATGCTGTTGGGAATATTTCCTTTAGGGTAACTTTGTGTAGAAAACCAGATTTGTGTTTGGAGGGAGGCTTTTTAATGATTTCCTTTTCATTGCAAGTTCAATTGACCACTCAAACTTAGATGGTGACACTCACCTCGCTTATGGAGGAGGACACTGGCATGTCGACGCCCGTTTCCATTTTCCACATAACAGGAGTAATTTCCCAAGTCACCTTCTTCCACAGAGTCCACAATTAATGAGATGGAAACTTCTTGTTCCCCAAGATGCTCCTTAAGAATTCTAAAGTATAAAGCAAAACAAAAAACCCACACAAACAGACACAGACATGAAAATGAAAGAAATGTAGATGAGTCTGATATAAAACTACCCCCAGCATTTGTGCTTCCAATTTGGCTAAGAATTGATGCTATCTTAATTAAATTATATCATGCCCTTTTCTTCTTCACTTCTAATGAGGAAGCTTGTCTTTGTAGATGCTAATGAAGTTGCAGTTAATTATCTCCCTTAGCAGGACAATCACACTGTCATAACAAAGTGGTGAGAGAGACCTTGAGGATAAGTTTACAAATTGCCTTCACTTTAAGAAGAAATATAACATAAAGGTGAGAGGAAATTTGAATGTCTTGGACTGGAAACCTAATTACATATAAACCAAAAAACTAAACCCACTGTTATCAAGTGGGTTCCAATTCATGCAGTTTTTGTTGTGTGTCATCAAGTTCGGTTTTCACATGGGAGGAGATTGCCCATCTTTCTCCTGAGGAGCAGCTGGTGGATTTGAACTGTGTACCTTTGGGATTGCAGCCTGGCTTTTGACCACTAGGCCACCAGAGTTCATATTTCTAACTTATAAGAGACCCTCCGTTGGGCTTCCAATTCTGCTTAACAGTAGGATGCTGCCTATCTTTCTCCCACAAGAGGGGCTGGTGGATTGAATCCACAAATATTTCTGTTAGCACTGTGCCACCAGAGCTCCTTTAATTTAAAAGGAGAGAGGAGAGAAAGCAAGGAACATTTCTGAGCTATTTTGACATTTGTTGTCACCTACTACCATGATGTTTTTAAATGAGAAAAACCAATTGACTATTTTTAAAGAAAAGCAACATAATAAGCCTGTAGATGAAGTATTCTGATAGACCGTTTAATTCTGACATTTAAATTAATGGTGAAAACTCACTACCTTCACTCTCAAAGATTTTACTAATCTCAGAGCAAATGGAAAACTTTTTCAAATTAGGATTCGCTTTTTCTGTGATCTGAACGTCTTCACCGCCACCCTCCCACCTGTCTAATAACTCCTCTCTTCTCAACAATTCTTAATAGAAAAGAAAAGAAAAAATGTCTTTTTAGAAACATTCTCAGAGTACATACAAAATCAGAGGGAGAAAAAATTAGGTGGTTTATGGCCTCTTTTCAGCATTAACATTTCCAAGTCTATGGACAAAGGCAGCTCTGGCAGCTTAGTGCATAATGTCTCATACTGCTAAGCAAAGGATTGGCAGTTTGAATCCACTAGTCATTCTCAGAAAGAAAGATCAACAGCTTATGCCCCTTAAGATTTACAGCTTGGGAAACTTGATGAAGGGTCACTAGGAGTCAGAACTGGCTTGATGGCAGTGGGCGGGCAAAAGAGAATAATGAAGATTTACGTATAAACAATTACAAACATATTTTCTCACATACTAGAGAATTTTCTCATCTGGACTTTTAAGAATCCAACAGGAACACTCTGCAGTACGATAGTCTTGTATTTGTTTCGGGGGGGGGGCAAAGCCCCCATAAAATAGTCTTATATGACAGTTTTACAGTTTTTAATTTTGTACTGAACAACATTTTCTCTTATGCCCTGGATAAAAACTTAAAGGTCTTGACATTTAAGAAGAGGGACATTGGTTAAAATGTTCATCTATACCCAGAAGATGCAACCTTTGGGTAGAGGAATGCTTTGAAGTGAGCAATAGTTTGATTCTGTTATAACTCAGTTGTTACTACTATCTTTCCTTATTTACTTTATGATTAAAAAGAACTGTGAGGCCCTAGTGATGCAGGGTGTAGTGAGTGGGGCTGTTAACCGAATGGTTGGCAGTTCAAATCAACCAGCTGCTCCAAGGGAGAGAGATGGGCAATCTCCTCCCATAAAGATTTAAAGTCCTGGGAACTTGCTGGAGGGTTGCCATGAGTTGGAATCCCCTTGGCAGCAGTAAGTGTGGATCTATAAGCCAAATTGTAGTCATCAGTGAATAGCTTGAGGTGATTGTCAATTGCCCTCCAGTCACTGCTTCATGGTTGCGCCAAGTGTGCAGAGGAGAACTGATCCCTAGGATTTTCAGGGTCGTGATCTTTCAGATAAAAATTGTCAGGCCTGTCTTCTAAGGTGCCTCTCTGTGGGGTTTCGAACTGATAACATTTCAGTCTGTAGTAGTCCAGTCCTCAACGTGTTGGGTCATTCAGGGACTTTTTAAAATACTTCGATACTTAAAAGTAAATGCATTTCTTTCAAAATATGCTTTCAAAATGGATAGTCTTTTTAAAATGGCTCTTTTCTTGGTATTATTGTGTCTAAGTAAATAGCTCTGGTGGCCTAGTGGTAAGAAGCTGCACTGTAATCCTGAAAGCACGCAGTTCAAATCCACCAGTTGCTCTGTGGGAGAAGGATGAGTAATCTCCTTCTGTGTGAGTACTGCCTCTGAAAACCCCCCCAGATGGCCAGCTTTGGGTCAATTCCAGCTTGGCGGTACATAACAGTGACAACATATAAATAGTTAGAACTTATTGTCCTACTAACAAAGATGATGGGAACATCTTGCATGCCCTTTATCACCCCTCTTAACCTGTTAGCTCAAATGTGTGAAAGCATTTAATAGGAAATGGCAGAAATTGTGTGCAGTGGAGCACTGCTGTTGGTGTTAGGTGCTCCAGAGTCAATCCTTTGAGTAATGGATCTGAACTTTGACCTGTCATGTGCTATTCTCATCATCTCTGATGTGCTTGAGCTCATTAGCATGCTACGAGCACTCAGTGACACTTTGTCAATCTATCTTATTGCAGGTCTTCCTCTCTCTCTCTCTCACCTTTCCAACCATGATGCCTTTTCCCCCCAGGACTGGACCCTCCTAACAACATCTACAAAATATATCAATGAATCATTGAGTGCTAGTGACAGCGCCAATGTTTCCTCTCATAAATGGAGGGGAAAATAACATTTAGAAACAAAAGGCACACTAGCCCATTGTAGTTCATCTGTAACGTTTTGGTCCATCTCATACAGAGGATATTCTCTCATGAACATGCTGCTTTAGTTGCCTTAATTATTTGTGTTACTGGTTTGCAACTCCCTGCCTCTTTGTCATTAACTTGTATTTTTTTATAATGTTGTTGTTGTGTACTGTCAAATTGGAACCTGACCCACAGCTAACCCTCTCGCAGATTTTCCAAGGCAGTAATCACACGGAGGAGATTGTCCATCCTTCTCCCTTGGAGCTGCTGGTGGATTTGAACCACATGCCTTCAGGATGGCAGCACAGCTTCTTGCTACTAGGCCATCAACTTTTTTCAGCTTACTTTCTGGTCTCTAGTAGACTAAATGCTAATCTTAACTATGTAAGGTAAGGAGCAAAAATTATTTTACCTAATGTCACTTTCCCAGACTCGATTTTCATCCAGATCTTCAATAAACTTCTCTCCTTTCATCCAGTAAATTAAAGGACTGACATCGCCGCTGTACCCAAAGAACGCTCTGCAGGTTAGATTAGCGGAGTCGCCTGTGGAGAAAAGTGATGGAAATGTATTAGAGAACTATTTCTACACGCTTATTTTAGGCACACTTGCAGGTAACATTTCATTTTGATCACTTCATTGACTTAATGAAACATCTCTAAAAAGAACAATTTTTCAGATATTTCCATTCTTTGTCAAATTTACAGAATGTGTGCTTTTGACAGCAAGGCTTGTTTAATGGAATGAGAGTGGCTTATAAGATCTCAAAGAGTACCAGCCAGTTGTTTTGTAGAACCTTGTTCAATTTAGGTTTGCTTAATGTTTTTCTCATGATTAGATTGAGGTTCTATATTACAGGGACGGCCACCAAGAGGCGATGAATTCTTCAGAAAGTAAGGTATCAGGAGGTGCCCAATATAGATAATTGTACAATTTTTCTCAGGCAGAAAGACAGTATTTTCTCAGTCTTGAATGTAGGAAATGAGAATCAAATACTTGACTGGGAAGGGAAAAGTAACTCTAAGATCTAAAGAAAGCAATAGTGATTTTATTTTTTTACTTCATGAGGAATAATAACTAACACATGCTTAGGTAGGAAAGCACATTTACAAACAAATGAACAGCTCAGGTGTATAAATATATGGGATTTTTCATTAGAAGTAAAATCAATGACACTGCTGTGGAGATTAGTTTTTTTCCAATATGCTACTCAGGAGATCCATCCTAATGGTGAATAGATTGGTGGATTGCTTTAAAAGGTAGGTGGAGGTAGGACTCCGAGGTGGAAGTGAATTTAGTGCTTGTAGAAGGCAAAGTTTCATTCTGGACGGTTGTATCTTGTTCTTTTTTCTTTTTTTTGCAAGCACTTGGTGTCCCCACCACTTGGCCAGCACTAGAGAACTGAAATATTCCAGAATGTGCTAGTTTTAAGAACCCCCTTCCTCTAAGTGGAGCTCAAAATCAGAGCATGTGATGTGGTTCTGCAAGGTCACGTGACAACTTGGACAGGGGCAAAGGGATTTCCAGGTGTAGACATATACAAGGATCTAAAAAGGAGACCAAAAGCCAGCATCTGAAGGTAGCAAGCTTTGCCAATTAATTACCTATAGTGCTGCAATGTGTTAAATGTTCAGCTTCTAACTGTAAGATTAGAGGTTGGAATCCACCAGCCACTCCATGGGAGAAAAGACCAGGTGATTGGCTCCGGAAAGAAAAAGATTCTCAAGACGCTGACTCCGGCTCATAGCCATTGACTCGGAACTGGCTTATGCCTGGCTTTCTATCCAGTTTCCATATTTCAAGTGATTTTCCATCTTTCTCCCTCAGAGCTGCTGGTGGATTTGAATATCCAGAGAAGAGCACCTCTTGGATTGGCTGCACAACTCCATACGAAATCTTGGGACATTTTTACCTATATGTATAGGGTCATTATGAGTTACAACAGAATAAAAGGAAGCCATCAGTTTTGTAGAAGTCTCTGACAACTCTTGTGCCATAAGACCCAAGGAAGGAGGCTCCTAAAGCCTGGATACCTCAGAGGTAGGCTATGAATGAATAGAAACCATCTGGCAAAATTGTAATTTCACTGATCCTATGCTATAAATTCAGAGAGAAGCAGAGTTCTCTTGCATTTGTCTGTCTTAGCTCAGCCACGAACATACCTAGATGCAAATTCCTTCTCCAAGTTTCACAGTAAGGAGCATTTTATCCGATAAAATTAATCTTATAATTTTAACGATGGTCATTATATATGGATAGTTAACATATAAATTGCTGCTCTTTCAATATGTCTCAGCTGGGCAAGCTAGATCTTTCTCATTTTATCATGTTTTTGCTCCTGTCAGCATGTTCTTCAAGGAAGAAATTCCTCACAAACTTTGACTCTTAGAACAGTCGTTGTTGACCAAATAAAGCAAGTGCACAAAATGTCTACAAGCTTTTAAGAAGTAAAATGGGCTGCCAAGAGGGTTCCTTTCTTATTAGGTTTTTGTTCATAAATATTTTCATAATGATAGAATTTCCCCCCCCTCCTTTGGAGACTATTTACTTTACAAAAAGGATAGGTGAATGCCAATCTTACTAATTAGAAGTGATCCCTAGATTTCTATGGAAAGCGTCAGTACAACATTATTTGACCACAGTTGATATTTACATGCACAAAACAATTTTAGTGTAATATCCCTTAACTTTAGACTTTCATAAGAGCACTCTAGCTTTTATACAACTGGACTACTTGTTATAGTGTCATTTAGTCATGGATTAAACAGTTAGCTTTAAGATTTACACGACACCATCATTAGTATCATGTGCAGACAAAATTGACATATATTACAGGGTTTTAAAAAATATATAAGTCAATAATTTACACAGTCTATCAAGGAATCAAGTCTTAGTTTTCACATGGTACTTAATGACTGGGATTCATGTACAGACATCTCTAAACATTAGCTAGTTTTCTACTACAACTTTGCTAAATATGGGAGTTTGTAAGCAATGAACAAGCCACGTACGTCTCAACCTGACACTCTTTAGCAGGAAAGCTCATGGAATCTTTCAGTGGGATCTGACTGTATCCCTCTTATCACTCACCTACCTTCCCAGATCAACGGATTTGCCTCTCTTAAAATTCTTCTCTCCCTACAGGCCATGTGCTGACCATACCTGAGAAGGGCTTAAGTAATTTGCATGCTCACTGTTGCTCACTTAGTCCTTGACCACCTGCCTCACCTCTAGATCTGTTGTTGTCTGTCATCAGGTTGGAATCAACTCATAAATAGCCTTCCAGAGGGTTTTCAGAGGCTGTAAATCACGTGGGAGGAGGTTGCCTATTGTTCTGCAGAGCACCTGGTGCATTTGAACTGCATGTTTTTGGATTGGCAACTCCTTACCACTGAGCCACCAAAGCTCTTGTTTCTCGGCGGTGGTTCTATGGGAGCCTCTTCTCAGGCGAGGTGCTCTCGACTTGGATGTGACTCATTTGTGGTTGTTATGTACCTTTGAGTTGGAACAGGCTTATAGCTGACTCTCTAGCAGGTTTTCCGAGACAATCAATTACATGAGAGGAGAGTGCCCATCCTTCACTCATGGAGCACCTTGTAGATTTGAACCATGGGCCTTAAAGATGACAGCACAACTGCTTACCACTAGGTTGCTTGAGCTCCCTGGCTATGGCTCCTAGTGACCTCTGGGAAACCTTGCTCGATCCTGTGCCATCCTCACAGCCTCTGCTGTGTTTCAGTCCACTGAGTCACTGTGTCAGTCCATCTTGTTGAGAGTTCTCCTCTCCTTAGCCAACCTTCTCTTTTTCCAAGTATGGTATCCTTCTCCAGGTACTGGCTTCTCCTAATAACATGCCTAGAATATGTGCAGCCAGATTTCACCATCCTTGTTTCTAAGGAGCATTGTGACTGCCTTTCTTCCAAGTTGGGATTGTTTAAGGGCATAAGGATAGAATCTTTCCAGACTTAGGCTGGGAAAGCCATGGACTCAGGAGTGGAATTCATGGAAGGATGAAAAGGGGATAAGGAGAAGAATCGAAGAGCACGCCCAAGAAAAGAGAACACGATCAGGGTGGGAAAAGGGACATTTGGAGGAAATTATATCACTGTAAAGTGACTGAAGCGAAAGTGTGACTTGGCTGTGCACGCACATGAGTGCGCATGCGTGCTCAGAGGGAGGTGGTTGCCATTGAGTCAGAACCAAGCCAGAACTGACGCTCCAGGGGGTGGTCAGAGGCACTTCTAATTGCACAGAAAAATATTGCTCATCCATCTCCCGTGGAGCAGCTGGTGGATTCGAACTGCAGGCCTCTGGGATTGCAGCACAGGAGGAGGAGGGGTGAAATGAGGCATGAATAGAGCACAAATGAAAACATGTTGCAGATGTGGGACTTCCTTTTAAGGGCAGTGGGGAGCAAGAGAAGGGCTCTTAAGTTAGGAGCTGATAGAATCACACCTGCCTTCTAAAGAATTCATCCTAAGTATATCTGCAAAGCGGAGCTTGGATCAGAGAGACTCAAGAAGATGGAGAATGTTGCAGTACTTCAGGATCACATAAGGACAGTCACTGCAATGATCAGATTAGTGCCACATAATTTCCTAAAAAAGATAAAACAGGTGATAGTAATGACTACAGATGATCACGCTGTAGGTCAATATGAGAATAGGGAACCTTTTAAAGAAGAAGAAAAAAGGATAAACTAGGAAGCTTGATAAGATAGAGATTTTTCTTTTTTTATGTGCATCTCTGTGCAATAACTGAGAAGTGAAAGCGAGAAAGAGGGATTGGGGATCTGCCAGCTGCTTCTCGGTCCAGACAGAATAGAAAGTTAGCTTGGGCAGAGCGCTGGTCTGGGAAGAGCGGTTCGGAGCGGCTTCTCTTCATTAGACTAGTTTGTGTGACTGAGCGAAAAAGCCCCACTGCTCGTCCTTCTCCCAACTCTGCCAGTAGGAAGGGATGCTAGAAGCCCAGTGGAGGCAATCCTGAGAGAAGGCCAGGGAAGTGTGCACTCATACCTGACACTTTACCCAGGGACCTCAGTGTTGGGGGGAGGAAATTAGCTCTAGTTGATACTTTTCCTTTAAGAAATTGCATCAAATTCAATGAATGTCAGATAGAAAGCTATGACTTTAGAGGCCACATGAGCACAATCTTCTGTTTGAAAGCAGAAATAAGGGATCAGGAGTTGAGAGACAGTCAAGGGACAGGGTATGTATCAGAAGATGATGATGGTATTCCACCAAATAAGGGCCAAGAGAGCTTAATAGCAATTACCAGGAAATACTTAGGAAAAGACTTAAATTCTTAAATACTTTAAGAAAAGACATGGGCTGTAACTGTATTTCTCACTTGAGCTCATGAAGTAGGACGTGCTAGCTTGTATAGCAGGTTTTAAAGCATCTGAGTTTTAGGAATTAATCCATCCTCAAGTTTTATAATCTGTTGCGGTCCTTACATTACATTCTCCTAATCCCATAGCTTAGTGGTAAGGAATTTCTCTGCAAATCCAAAGGCGTATGGTTCGAATCCACCAGGTGCTATGTGG